AATGATATGAGTAGAGCTGACGTCACCAGTGAATTTCACATAGCCTTGTTTTTCCAAAAGGTGTTCTCATCCAGGGTGGACTGCAGTTTTGATCTCGCAGCGGTCTTATCAACACCCCAAGGGTAAGTCAAATCATGACAAGGCAGCGTGTAAGCTCGACATGTTAACTACTACGCCACATTGCCGCGATTACCCTTGGTGGGATTGTCGATGAAGCAACATTTTATTTGCTATCACAATCGACTACATTACTTACTTTGCTTTCATAGTTAGGGTTTCAAGACTACCAGTAAATCAGTTATATGAGATGTATTCAACCTATTTCGTTTAAGGTGATGAGCATGACGCTAGGTTCTTCTTTAATTACTCTCAAGTATAGCTGATCTTTATAGGCTACTCGCTCGCACTCACACATACACACAGAGTATCAGTAGTCTAATTACTATGAAAGAGAACAAGCGAAATATTCATATATACATTAATATTTATATATTTCTGTATTTAGTCATGAGTATGCATATGTAATGTAGGGTTGAGCGGGATAGTCCTCTTGACTATGCACCAACCTGAGACCTTTGCGAGAATGAGTTCCATCTCTGAGTATGCTCGTCATATGATGAACGAAAGCCCGAAGCAAGGGGGGCTTGCTTCAAGCTGTATGTCGTATTAAAGCTAAATAGCCGCTTTCTTCTTGCGTTTTCTTCTTTCGCAGCAAATGAGTCTCGACTAAAATCCTTTTTTGTGCCGAGTTAAGAGAAAAAATCTCTGCTCCCCACAAAAGGCACCCAAAGGAGTCAGTGTCATAAAAGCCAGTTCTATTCGGTTTTCAGTCTCTGCCTTTTAAAGGCAACGGTAATCGCTCGCTAGAACCTCATAGATTGGATACTGTGACACCACGGCCCTCTGTTGAAGTTCAGGTTGGAGCTTTAATTACAATTTCTTTCTCGGCCCCTCACCACTCATTTCTCCTGCCGCTAGCCTCCTTCGACGGCGCCTGCATCGAACAGAACTTCGGGCCTGCCCAACTCTGGCAAGAAGCCTGCAAGCGGTGCGTGCGTCATGCCGAGCGGACAGAGTTCGCAACCGTTTGCCTGCCATGGATTGGCGCACCACCAACAGGGTGAGCAGACCTGACGTTTTGCCGGGCCTTCAGACGCCCTTTTACCTCCGCACCGCTCCCACCGCCTGTGCTCTGCGGTAGGTCGGACCAGGGCAGCCACATCTGCGAGTTCCGCTCAATGCATCCCTGAAGCTCTCGTCTTGCCTACACATCGGCGTCCCAACTGCCGCATGTACACACACTCATCGTATTCTTGTATGGTGGGCTTCACTTTCGAAGTGCGCGAATACCCATCCTCAGCCTGAATGACTCGCTCTTTTCGCTGATGGCCACACCACACACAACCATATACACAAGCGTGCACCCACACCCGCACGACTCCGTAACGTAGCGGAAGCCTGGCGGTATCAGAGCGGTGTATATGTCGGTAAAATGGATTTCGAAACTGTCGCCACGTGATGGACAAGAGCTCCAGTCAGCCCAGATCTCAGATGGATTTGACCAAATCGAGCTGATTAGGCCTCACGCTTTCATTGAATTCCACTCAGCCTTGCTGCTCAAACGGTGCTCTCGTCCACAGTGGACCGAACTGTCCACATCGCCTCGGCCTCATCAGCACCTTCAAGTAGAACTGAATTTCGGTTGCCACTATGCCTCACCGCTGCAAGTGCCCGTGGGTCACAGGACAGAAGTGAACTTTGGGCAAGGCCAGGCCACTCCCACCTCACTTTTCTACAAAAATTGTCGATAAGGTCAACTTGTATTTTATATAAGCGCTGTATTCATCCTGTTTCGCCTAAGGCGATGTGTAGCTGCATTTTTCCACAATCAGATGAATAGGCCTCATCTTTCCCTTGAATTTCACATGGACTTGCTTCCCAAAAGATGGTCTCATCCAAGCCGGACTAGACTACAGTTTAAACCTCGCACCCCGGCGAGACACGTTAAACTGCCGCGAGTGGCTTTGCATCATGGGACAAATTGAATTTCAAGAGAGATTGGGCGCTTCCCATATCAAGTTTATGTTGTGGGATTGTCGATTAAGCAAACTTGTAATTGCTATTGCAATCGACTATATTATTTTCGTGTATAAGTAAGTTCTCGAGACTATCAGTAGATATTATATGAGAGACTATACGCTACACCATCAGGGTTCGAGTTCCGCTGTGGACGCCGATGAGGCCTAAACGAGTTGGAAACCGCAGTCTAGCATGGATGGGAATACCTTTTAGGAAGAAAAGCTATGTGTAATTCAATGGAAACATGAGGCCTACTCATATGATGTTGGAAAAGTTTTACTGCCAATCCTTCACCATTTAAATGAAATAAAGTGAATATATATATATATACTTATATACAAAAAACGTGTATTCTGTCACTTGTACTCATAGAAAGTAGATTTAGTGACTACCACTAGTAACCCTAAATCATATAAGGTAATGAGCTCTCTAGAATTCCTATTCAAGGTTGACTGATAATCTCGAAACCTAATTTCTCTCTATTTTATAAGGCAGCCAATCAAAATGGAAAAATACAAGTTTGGGCCATCGACACTATAAAAATGTGGTATGTTAGAGGCCTGGGCGTCCTTTAAATTCACTTCTTCCCTTTAATCCGTTGGCACTCGTGGCAATGTGGCCTAGCGGTAACATGCCGGAAATGGAAAAGATGCACTGCCCAGGTTCAATTCCCGTTAAGGGTGCTGATGAGATCGAGGCGAGGTAAAAACTTCAGTCCACTTTGGACGAAAACACCGTTCGTGAAGGACGACTGAATGAACTCTAATAAAGGCGTAAGACCTACTCAGCTCATTGTCAGAAAATTCAATCAGTCCCTTACCACCTAGTGTGATCTAAGAGGATTGGAACTCATTTGACATTTTATAACAGTTTTAAGATCCATTGCATACGAATATAAAGTGCACTGATGCTGTCCAGCCGAGCTGATACCGCCAGATTTCCTCCAAGGAACAAGATCGTATCCAACTGAGGCTAAGTGAAGTGGAAATGGGTTGGGAACAAGGGGATAGCTAAGTTTAATTCTCCAACCGACATCAGCCCTCCCTGGCTTCCATCCTGACCAATCAGAGTTGCATCTTTTTGTGTCTCTGACTCATTGGGC